GCAACGTTTCATCGCCGGTGCCAAGAAGCTCGTTGCAGCGGACAATCCAAAGAATGCCGCTGCCATATAGAATGGTATGTCATAGCTCTGCGTTGCATCATATACAGCTCCTGCCAGTGGAGAGCCGATGATTGCGGCACCGCCACGGAACAGAATCAAGAGCCCAAAAGCATTGGTCAGTTTGTCAAGCCCAAGAAGGTCAACAAGAATGATGGATGTGAGTGAAATGTACCCAGCTGGAAAATACATAGATATTTGTCACTGCATCTTATATGAACACCTTATACATTTTCTAAACTGAACAAAACTGCGAGATCATGCAAAATATTGATCACTGACAATAGAATTCAAAAGCTCGAGTGATGCGGAAAGAAATGCCGATCACTCCAAGCTTATACATCTATATCACGCAGGATGTAAAATCACATATTAACTACGGTTCTTGAAATATAATAATATGAAGTACAGAAGTATATAAAATGTATTTGAGAGACATAAATTTGCTATCAGACGCTACACATGAACTTGCTGTATAAGGAAAAAGAAAAATTCCCATAAAAATGTATATTGACAACCAGAATATTTATATGAAGCAAATTTAGCAAGGGAATATTTGATTTAATGCCTGGAGAAGTACGTTACTAAAATTCTGTAAAATTAAGTGTTCTGTTTTCTATAACTAAAATGTACATTCTCAAAAGAATGTTTTGAAGATGGAAATAAAAAGGAAAATTTCCAAGAGGAAGAGGAAGATCAAGATGGTAACAACAGATTAGGAAAGATGTCATACAAAAGAAGAAACAATGTGAGAAGTCTAACATTTTGGGTTCTCACAACATTGAGCATGAAAATGACCGTGTTCTGGAATATCGCGCTGTGAAATTTGGTAGAAGTTTACCGACATTTCAGAGTTGCTTACTGCCTCAATCACTGCAGCCATCATGTGAGAATAAATTGAAGAGGAGCCATGGGAAGAGATTGATTGTCAGATGACCCACATAAATGGAAACATCTTTGGAAGAAGACGTAGTAGTAGAAGTAGGAAAAGAACTACATACACTAATCAGGCATGTTTCAGTTATTCTGTTTCAGAACTCCTTGTCCAGGCTACTGGCCCATTGCGAAGCTCCTACCTAACGGAGAAATTCCCCAACTAATACTTAAATCTGCAATCCATGTTCAAGCAATCCAAGACCACAAGTACGTAACTCTATATTATATTTATTATGACAAAACTGATTAGCATTTACAGTCCTTGCTAACCATACGTTGGTCTTTTAAATTGTAGGTACAAAAATGCGCGTGTTTTATCTGTTCGGCGATTTATAACTGAATTTATAATAGGAGTTGGATGTTCGTCTTTGATAGTATTTAACGTCTCAACCCATACAGTGGCGGCGCGGTCTGAGGCGTGGGCCTTGTGCTGCTTGGTCGCTGGGACCGTGGGTTCGAATCCCACTCAAGCCATGTATGTTTGTCCGCGTTTTTTCTGTGTTGTGCTGTCCTGTGTACAGGTAGAGGCCTTGCAACGGGCCGATCCCTCGTCCAAGGAGTCCTACCGAATGTCTATAGATCAAGCCAACGAAAAGTTGGGACCCGCAGTGCTCAGGCACTTGAAGAACGGGTCGTTCCCAGTATCCCAGGTACATACATATAATTGTATTTTAAATAGAATCTCTCTAAGGTTAATCAACAGAAAAATATGTAGAAGAATTAATGTTGTGATTAAGCTCAGAAAAGAAAAAAATGTGTTCTCTAAGCTTGAAATAAGTAAACTGACATATCAAAAGGATCTGTGCCGTCTGTATCCAGTTGCTACTAAATCCAATTATTCTTACCAAAGAAATAAACTAGCAGCTGTGGTCCTCACACATTAATGACAATACAGTGAAACCTCTATCCATCGTTCCCGGAACTATCGTTTTCCCGGATGCATCGTCCGTTTTGTTCGGTCCCGAATACATCCCATATAAAATAATGTTACATTTTCCCGCTTCTATCGTTCCTCGAACTATCGTTTTATCGCATCGAGCGTTCAAAAATCTTAGTCCCGGCCCACAATGTTCCCGCAATGATCGTTTCTGAGAAATTGTAACGAAATTTACGTGATATTTTTAGAATTTAATTCCGAAAGACGCACAATGTTTTTGGAATACACAGTAGCGGTAACCTGTTATGTCGCCCAACCAGCACAGATCCTTTTGGAATGAGGGGTCAGCGGTGCAGGGGTGATAGTTGGAGTGAATGGCGGTGCTCATTGTCAGAAATTTTACGATTTTAATTAGGGTGCACTCATATTTCGTTCCAGCGATGCCAGATGGCATGTGCAGTGTGAATTTCTTCACAAATGCTT